CCCCCCCCCCCCCCCCCCCCCCCCCTGTCGTTAAAAAGCGTTCTGGTCCGCCACGCTGAACCTCTCCGTCCCCTCCTGCAGTTACTTTCACACTGTGCGTCTTTTTGTCCCAGGAGGCGATACGCCTATGTCCGCCCCTCTCCTGTCGGTCTCCTTCCCTGCGTATGCGTGTGCTGCTCCGTCTATTGACCAGTCGCTGCTCCGGGATTAGCTGGTAATAACGGATGGATACGTTATGACGGCTGTGCGTGATGCCATCGCCGGGGCATTTGCCTGGGAGAAGCAGCCGTTATAGTTTGTAACACACACCGAAACGACCGGATGTTTTCAAAGTGAGGGACGGGGACCTCAAGAGGGCCGTGGTGGAATGCAAGTGTGTCTTTAGGTAAAAGAACACTGGTGGCATCACAAACTTTACAAAAGAATAGTTGAGATGTAAAACTAAGGCTGAGTTTGGGTGTGGGCCGAGCAAGGGCACCGGAAGTAGGGGGGTAGTTAGTGCCCCTGTGGGCAGCTGTGTGACCCCATTGCAAGATGGTCTCTAGTTTATTATGACTTTAAGTTTTTCTCATAACAGAAAAGTAATCATTTATTTTTAAAATACTGTCTCTGTATGTTCTGGAATCCAACACAAAGACAGTTTTTTACATGAAACAAAATGGAAATATCCATAAAAAGCACAGTTTATTCTTTTGGTGTAAATATGCTCACAATCTCCCCAAAACACACTGTATGTTATAAAGTGGATGTTGAGCTGTAACTTACCTTAGGTCTACTCCTGGTTTCCAATTGAGGCTAAATTGGTCGCAACATTAAGTTTGACGTTTTGCGAGTTTACCCTTATGCTTTCTTGCTGAAAGTTAGATAAGAACGACCACTTTCATGTCTGTACAGTCTATATAACGCTACTGTTAGCAGCCAGCAACCTATTGACAACTGGACTCCAGCAATTTACTGGGGCTATGGAGCCAAGACATCACACAGCACATACTCACCATGAAACCACAACAAATTGTTTTTGTACTTTTATTTTTGTAGAGATACAAACAAGATACAAGTACCACTGGTAGATGAATTTCATTTGGACAGAGCCAGGCTAGCTGTTTCTCCTTGTTTCCTGTCTTTATGCTAAGCTAAGCTAACCAAATGCTGGCAGTACATCTATCTACAAAGCAAGGATTCTTTGTCTGTCTGTATGCTACCCGAGAGCCGCTTATCCAATCTACTTCACTATGTTACGCCCTGGCTCAAAGGCTGCAACATAAGGGAGACAAGACAAGTGATAAAAGTAATAAATAGACATGTATTTAACGAACAAATAACCAAACTAAACTAAATCAAACAAACAACCAAAGAATCAATCAAATGAAGCAGCTGCCGTGAGAGTCGGAGCGGAGGGGAGGCACCTGTACAAAACTCTGGCAGTTCACAGGAGTTACTGGTCTCTCGACACAGGGTGCCAGCTGGTTTCAGCCTGCAGTCTTCACAGCACTGTCCGTGCGCGCACACGGCGTCTCCCTTGAGGGTGCATGCGGTGGCATTGCAGCATGGGTTCATACACTCCTCCGGCTCTCCGCAGTCACACTCTTCCCCCTCCTCCACGTAGCAGTTGCCGCACTTCTGGCCACCGTAGAGCACCTTGACCTCCGGCATGTTGTCCAGACACGTGCCCACGCCTTTCTCCAGACTGGCAGCGAGGTCCTTCTTACTGCACGTACTGAACACTGTTGGGAATGGATAACCCGTGGAGGGGATCATGATGCAGCCTCCACGATCAACGGTCATCCTGCAGCCACAGCCGCGCTCTGGGGTGTTGTGGTTCATCCCAAAATTGTATCCGAGCTTGTGTGCCAAAGTCACCGCTGCCCCCAGTGGGTTCTCAGAGTGATCCTCGCCATGTTCAAGTGGTGAATCTTTATAGCTGGCCATTTCCAGCAGGCTCAGGTGAGGTTCGTTAGCTGCCGATCAACATCCCGAAAGACAGAGTAGGCAGCAAACAGGACACAGACCCCTAGTGCATGGGAGGGGTCGTCACAACACTGAGCAATAGCGCTCTGTTTTCAACTTCTCTGGAGTCACGAATTGACAGCAAACTGGAAGCAGAATCAAACCAGGGTATATTTCACTGGTGTTTCTGACCGTGAGTAGGTTGCTATACTTGGGTGTGTTTTTCCCCTGTGAGAAAGACTGTATGGCTCAATTCCACTGTTCCCCCTCATAACTTCAGCCCTCAACCTTCAGGGACTTAACTGACATCACCTGAACGGTTAAAGTGTGAGATGTAGCAGGGGCTTGAAATAGTATAAATAACAATGGGTCAGCACATTGATGACACCAAAACATATTATGTACAATTGAGGGTATTTTTTTTTTTTTGCCTGATTTGAACAACATTTATACTTTCACCTTACCAGAATAAGTGGTTAAAAAAATGTGTTGACTTGTTTTGGTCAAAACAGCTTCAAAAAGCCCCCAAAAAATGGTTGATGAACAAACCAGATGTGTAATGTACTCAGTGTGAAGTTGTTTGTATGAGCAGTTCTTGAGAAATGAATTATATGGTGCAGAATGCATGCAGGTAGGCAGGAAGCTAGACTGGCAGGTAGTCTCATCATTACATGCAGGCAGAATGAAATGGTTGGATGGGTTTATTACAGTCCTGCGACAGCCACAGTTACCACAGTTTTTAAATATTTTTTTCTTATGAATTGCTTTTGGGATTTAATGAGAATTCCAATGAACAATAACATAATAACAAAACAAAAAAGACATTTAACAAGCAAACAATGTCCAACATTCAACAATTGGACAATTTCTTTGCTACTTTTGTCTGTTTTGTATCATTAATATTGTTATTATTTGACTGTTGAACAACACCAGCCATTTGAGAAGGTCACCTGGGGCTTCTGATTAATGGCAATGGACATTTTTCCATATCTGATATTTAATTAAAAAAATATTTGATTAATATCCATATTTGATAAAACAATAAACAACATATTGGTCAAAACAACCATTGTGAACCATTCTAATCTGACACGGCTATAGTATATAAAAAGACACAAGCTCTGGTGTTCCATGTCATAGCTACACGTGTGAACCAACCTTCCTCCCTAAGAGGCTGTGTGAAGGTATAATAACTACTTCTGCCTTTGCGTCCTGGAAAACAACAGACACACAAGAGCTCTTGAAAGGTTCTTGTGAGGTTAACGTAAACATGTTATGGTTTAGGCATTTGAATAAATTACAAGCGCTGTCCTTTTTCTGCTGAGAGCAGATCTTCTCCTTTAGAATTATTTAGTTGCAGCCTAAAGGAAACAATTCCAATGCAATCCAGTACAAAAAAACAAAAACAAAACATTACCGCGTCATTTTTATTTATTTATAGCGTTTTCTGATTTACTCATCGTCATAACTCATACTGTATATTCAGTTTGCAGTTTGCTTTGTGGTGTTTGACTGTCATTTCAACACTGAATGTGTCGTCATTGCTGTGGCAACATGCTGTGTTTCATAACCATAACGCGTCTGTTAAGTTGAGAGGGAGAGATACAGAAGACAATAAGAGGGCACAAGAGATAAAGACAGAGAGGAGGAGAGAAAATGTAACAGAGGAAGGGAGGGAGGGAGATAAAGAGAGACAGAAGACCCTCCAGCCGATTCAGCACCATGGACAGTGCTACAGCGAGACTCAGCAGCACAAGACCGGAACAAGCTTTATCCTGAGAGAAAAGCCAAAAGCTCTTCTCAACATGCTCTGATCTCTCTCGCTCTAACTCTCTTGCTCTCTCTCAGATACACTCACATCCATGTAGCGCTCTCTCTCTCTCTCTCTCTCTCTCTCTCTCTCTCTCTCTCTCTCCACGACACTTACACGTTTGCCTCCCTTTTAACTGTCTTTCCCCTGCCTGCCACCCTCCCGAACGTCCCACAGTTTGTTTCTCATCATTTCTCTGCGTGACTGCTCTCTTTGTGGATCAACATAAAAAAGTAGTTGACAATAAGTCCAGCATGTATGTGTGCGCATTTGTCTGTCACTCAGCCTGGTAAGCTGTGTTGTTGTTCTTTTTTCGACAAATCACCACATTTTTAGAGGATACATGAGTAGAGGAACAGTTGAAAAGGACACCATGCCCTAAATCGGTCGAGTGATTTTTAAACAGGTCCTCGGAGAGAGGAATACAGGGAATGGACAGGGAGGAGAGGTAAGAGAAAAAATAAATCTGTAAAATTGAGATAAACTGAGAAAAGCAGGGTGTAAAGAACATAACATGGAAAAAAGCAAAAAAAAAAGGACCATACTTTATTGTTGAAGGGGATTATGTCTTGAAAAATGGCTTAGCTAGTACATTCAAAGCACCATACAATAGTTAATTTAAAGTAACGAATCTATGATTCATGTCGAGTTGCCATTTTTGACAAACTGAGTCACACAAGCATTCCATACAATAGGGGTGGAGCAGAATCCAATATTCAGCAAAGCACAAATAGTGGGCTTTTTAAAAAGAATTATTTCGAACAAATATTTAAAAATACATCAAATGTCATATAGCTGGTATACTCCTCATAACTTTAACGGTGGGTATTTGTGCTCCCCCTGCTTGTGCTGATGTGACAGTAAGAGATAATTGAGTGGAAAGAGAGCACAGACTCAAAAGAAACAGCGCAGCATGATTAAAATATTGGCAAAACGTAGTACATTTCTACGCCACAATGTTGTGTATTATTTGTAAGTAGTTTATTATTATGTTGCTTTCTTGTTGAACCTGCAATATCTTGAGCAGAGTTTGTTATACAGGGAGAAGGTTGTCACCAGGTATGTCGCACACTGGACGCATCCTCCCCACAGCATTACGATCAGAGCAACTGACGAAGTTTAAAGAGCGAGACAA